CCTACCTTTCGTCTTGATCTGATTAAATCATTGAAGTTCATCAAGGTTGATTTAAAGGGAGTTCTACCTGACTTCATCCTATACCTACTCATTTATGCACTATATTTTATCATATGTTTGTATTTACCTCTTAGGATATACTTGTCATATGATATCATTCATTGCATGAATTTGCATGAGTTTTATTAGTTGCGTGACATTCATTGCATTTCATAAGTGTGTTGTTCATTAAGTATGCATTGCATTCAAAGCATCTAGTTCATTTAGGGAAGTAGTTCATTTATGCATATTTAGATCATTTAGTAAGCTACTTCATTCATGCATCTAGTTCATTGAATAAAGTTAGTTCATTAGTTAAACTAGTTCATTCATCAAAACCACTCAAAATCTACAAGAAATAACAAACTTAAAGATCCCTTACCATAGACATGAAATCACGACGGAGAGGAGGAAGAAAGATGAGGAATTTTCTGGATATCTTTAACTCTTTCTTTCCTTTTCCCACTTGTATATATAATACCCCACTATGAATTTTAAATTTATTTCCTTATCAAATGATCATTATGCCCTTTCCACTTCCAAACTTTTCTATTCAATCCTACACTAAGAAATTTCAAATAATCCCTGAACTTTTCAATTTATCAGAAATTGATCACAAAGCTTCAAAATCTTACATTCTGGTCACTAACCCAGTATTTAGGATGTTACAAGACAAGTTCTCAAACATTATATTGTAAAGAATTTTACTCTTCTTACATGAAATTAATCGACTTTTGAGTGTAGGAACTTTTATAACACGACAAAAGTTAATTAGATCATCCTCCATCATTCCACTATCATCATTATTTCTTAGAGAAATAAAACATAATCATTTAAATAGCATTTCTTTCATCTCGTGGATCTTCTTAATGATACTTGTTCTTTGAGGTTGTTGTATCCTGTTGAGGTCCTAGATTATTTTTTTGATGACGACATATAAAAACACATGAATATCATCAAAAGTGATAATATGAATCGCGTTAAAATCCAGTTCCATGTCAAAAGTAATGCCTCAAATCTATATTTCTCTCTCCAAACTCAACATCCTCAAAAATAATTTTATAAGTCTCACCTAAAAAATATTTATAGTTATGAGATAATAAAACTTATAACCCTTAAATCACTTAGAATAACCATAGTAACTTGATCTCCTAATTTATTACAAAAGAGAAAAATTATTTTTAACATATTGTTGTCTCTTTTGAGTTTGACCCTTAACAACTATATTTTGATTTTATTTTTGCTTTTATTTTTATATACACTTTTAAAATTAGTACTTTCAAACTTATTATGCTTCAACATTTCTTCCTCTTGCAAACAATGAAAAATGAACTCATTTAGAGTTCATTTTTCCATTTGAGTTGATTAAACTATATAGGAAGCGGTACTGAGTCATAAGAACAAATAATTTTTCAGAAAAACACAATCTTAAGTGATTTAAGTCTTGAAGCAATATGAAACATATCCATGATGTGCTTTCTCATATTTCCTTGACCTTTATATACATCAAAGAAATAAAAAAAAAAGTATAGATTAAGATGCTTCGTTTCAATTCAATTTTCAGTTCAATTCATTAAGAGCGAAACAACATAAGAAAAAAAAAGGAAATAATGATTGTAGTTTTCAATTCAATTTATTAAAAATTTAATAACACACATAAAGGAAAGATGCAAAAGAAAAAACAGTTGATTGCATAACACACACAATTTCTTTTATTTATTCTCATGATAGTAGTAGTTTGTGGGGTAAACCCACATTAAAAGTACATGAGATTTATTAATGCATTAAAGGAAAACACACATTAAGTTCCATGAAAGGAGCACTAATTTAATTTATCCAGTAGATGCACACAAACAGACAGTGTGTGCTTATGTTATGCCCTAGGCGTCAATCGGTTCTTCTCTGGTCTGAAATCGGAGGTTGTAGTAGTTAGAAACAGTGTAAGTGGTATCTTCCACTTCAGTTGTGTAAGTGTCCCCGTTGATCAGAGTGTCACGTTGCGTGAATGTGAAGGGAACATCACACTTACCCTTTGTTGCAGTCAAACTCAGCACCACCTTAGTGTTGGGAGGCACAACAACTTTGTGCACAACTTTCTTTATTGTGGTCGTAATCATGGTCTCGTCCAACATTTCCTCGTTGTCCTTGATTGAGTGATTGGACCCTCCCACCGTCAACGATGATCGGAAAGCTGGTGATGTCGAAGGTCCCTTTCGCCTCCAACTTGAGCGAAAGATTAGTCTTCCATATATTAGACTTGACGTCTTCATAGCTGAGCGTCAAGTCCACGGTAGTGCTAGAATTGGGGTCACGGTTGATTGCAGAATTCTCAACCAAAACTACGGTTTCATTGTCGTAGACCCTGGATTTATCGAGGCGGTATTTGATATTAGAAATCTCCCTCTTGGTGACAGTCTCTTCCACCTTTAGCCGAGCAAAAAAGTCTGTAATATCGATCATGGCATTGAAGCCGCTCTTCAAAGAGCCTGTGTAGCGCTTACAGAACCGATTGTTGCCGAGGTTTACAAGAGCGATTGATTTGGTGTTAACTTTGAAGGGTCGAAACAAGGTGTTGTTGTCGGAATCGCTAGTTTTATCTGCATCTGCCAAAATAAAATCAGGGTTACCTAAATTCCAAAATTTACCTGAAGAAATGTGCCTGATGCGGACGTTCCCATCGTTTGCAGCCAAGATTTCCATAGCTACATTTGGATCACTGATATCACTGGCTGTAAACTGCAAATGTGGTCGCCCCTTGAATTCACCAACGCACATATACTGACCATTGTCTCCTTTCAGAGCCACAAACCTGGGCAATGCCAATGTCAATTCGGATGCCATTTTTCACTCTCTTTTTCACTCTTCTAAGTTGGTGCAAGTAGTTGTGATTCTGCTTCACCATTTTGGTATGATATTTATAGCCAAAACATGGATGCCCATTTTTGCCTCTCGTGGAACATGTGGTTTGTCCAGTCAGAAACGACGAAACATGGAAAGAAACATTATTTTTTTTTTCTTCTTTTAATGGTGTTAATGACTCATCCATATCTTAATTGTCAAAAAGCAAAATAGTCTTTCGTCGGTACATCACATGCTTGGTCTGTAATAAATTTAATATTTATAGACTATCAATTTGATATCTTATATATAAATATCAATATCATGTTTTTAAAGGTGTTTTGTATGATTAAATTGTAATACATGCAAAATAAAGACATGGTAGGGTTCATTAAAAACTTCTCTAAACCTAAATAGAAAAAAAAAGGAATGAGATTACACAATGCTATTATAATATATATCAACCATCGCTAAAGATGGTTTTAGTTTCATATATATATCAACCATCCCTAAAGATGTCATACACTTTAATACCATACATGTACGTATATTAAACATTATTTCATTGTCATTCGGTCATATCATCTATATTTATGTGAAGTATTGACGTGATTAGTCGAGACATACGAATTTTATATCTAAATATAATTAAGAAACAATTTAAGTTATTCACATCAATACGAGCATCTAATTATATTTTAAACAAAAAAAATTATATCCATAAATAGAAAAATATTTGAATGTTTAAATATATCTAATATTATATTTTTTTTATATCATACTGATAATAATAATAATAATATCAATTGAATTAAATTAAATTGACTTGGAAATTAACTAGATTTTAGATGGAAAGATACAACAATTCCATTCGTATATAGAATAAATTTATATTTAAAATCAAATCGCTATGATAAATTTTAAAAATATGAATGAATAGCGTCGTGGGAAAACAATAAATACGTAAAAAGTTGAAATTTATATAAAACGAATTATAACTTGTAAAACTTTTATAAATTTATAATACTTTGAATATAAAAGAATTCAAAACATTAAGACCATAAAATGCTTAATAAATATATTTATAAATTTATAAGTAGATGTATGATGCCAAAACAAATCCATAAAATTGTTTCCACTTATGTGTTTGAACTTTTTTTTTGTACCACCGATTCCAAGACTTCGCTCTGACTAATTTGGATCGACCCGCATTGCACACTTGACTTTGGTAGGTGAATATCCTAACAAGGATTTTCTGCATATATAAGGATTCGAACTAGAAATCTTAGTTAAACGATATAAAGCTGCTTACCACCAAGAACTAATTCTCCTTGATTTGAACTACTTATTTTCCAACCATTTTTATATTTGCAAACAAATAATTAAATTAAATTATTATATATATTTTTAATAGCATTAATTTATTATATTAAATTCCAACAACAAACACGTGACATTGAGGTTGATGTACATGTATTATTAAAATTTGAATTGCATTAATCCAAAATCGTTCTCACAAACCCAGCACCCATTTGAAGACTTGTATTAATGACAACAGACGTGTTAAGCAGAGTATGGACAAAGTGGAATATATTCCAACCCGGTTTTTCATATTCCAAGGGATCTTCCCTATCTCTCGTTACAGTAAAACACTGCTTACATATCTTTAATATATTCCATCACTAAGAAAACAAACTCGATCACTAAGAATCCTTGCTCCATAAATTTTCGTAATTCTAAAGTCTATAACATATTCTATATTTATAAAGAAAACAAACTCGATCACTAAGAATCCTTGCTCCATAAATTTTCTTACCTAAATAAATTTAATCAACAAGTAATCTCCCACCGATATAATTACAATGAATTCAGTAACCATGCTCCCAGAGTAACAGTGCAGGTTGATTGAGCCATCTTCGCCTTCATAGAAACGATGAGAGAGTCCCTCTCTCTAGGGCAAATACATCTCGATGCTGGTTAAGGCATAATGGATGAACTCTTATTGTTAGAGCTGAGGCAACTCGACCCTTGAGTAAATTTCATAAACCGTATGCTTGAGTAAATTTCATAAAAAAAATGCCTCTTACACTTCGCCTGAGATACAAAAGGAGATTTTACATATTATGACGGAGAAAATTAGGAGAACAATTCGTGAAGAAATTGGTGAAGAAAAATTTTGTGTTATTATTGATGAAGCAGGGGATGTATCAAGAAAACAACAAATGGCTATTATTTTACGGTATGTTGATAATTTCGGTCTAGTAAAGGAACGTTTTTTTAGCATTATTCATGTTCCTAATACTTTAGCAGTGACTTTAAAATATGAGATATTTTACGTTCTTTCTCGTTATTGCTTTGACATAAAGAATATTCGAGGCCAAGGTTATGACGGTTCAAGTAACATGCGAGAAAAGTGGAATGGGTTACAAACATTAGTTAGCAATGAGTGTCCTTTTGCTTACTATGTGCATTGTTTTGCCCATCTTTTACAGTTGGCACTAGTAGCTGCAGCGAAAGAGGTCATACATGTTTATCAATTTTTTTCCAATTTATCATTTATTAGCAATGTTGTTCTTGCCTCATATAAGTGCATCGATGAACTAAAAAATGCTTATTCTAACGAGATAAATCATTTGATTGAAGAAGAAAAACTTGAAATTGGAACTGGTTTGAATCAAACAAGTAATTTGTAGAGGGCATGTGATACTCGATGGGGTTCTTACTTAAGATCAATTTCAAGCTTGATAAAAATGTTTAGTGTCACTTGTGTTGTTCTATATAAACTCATTGATAAAGGAAGTACATCTTCTGAACATGGAAAAGGAGACAACATTAGAGACTTTGACTTCGATTTTGTCTTCATTTTACATCTTATGAAGAAAATATTAGAAATCACTTATTCACTTTCTCAACCATTACAACGAAAATCTCAGGATATTTTGAATTCACTATATCTTGTTGAGAGTTCAAAGCTACTTTTGCAGAAATTTAGAGATGATGGATGGAATATTTTTTTTATGCAGGTTGTCTCATTTTGTGAAAGTCACCACATAGATATCCCATATATGAGTTCTATTTATAGAAAAAGAGGAGGTCGCGCTCGTCGCCCAACAAGATCATTTTACAATTGAACATCATTATCGAGTAGAAATTTTTTATGCTACAGCTGATGCTCAACTACAAGAGTTAAACAGTAGATTTAATGAGAAGTCGATAGAGTTATTAACTCTTGGTTGTGCTTTGGAGTCAAGAGATAGTGACAAAATTTTCAATCTTGTGAATAAATTCTATTCGGAGGATTTCACGGAAGTTGAAAAGAATCATTTACGAACAGAATTGCGTCATTATGAGGTGGAGTTATCATGGAATTCATGTCTAAGAAAATTGTTAGCAATCTCTGACCTATGCCAGTGGTTGGTGGATACTAGGAAAGTGAACACTTATCCATATATATTCCGAACGGTAAAACTTCTATTGACTCTCCCAGTTTCTAAAGCAAGTGCTGAAAGAGATTTTTCTACAATGAATATCATCAAGACTACACTTCGCATCAAAATGGAGCATGAATTTTTTGAGAGTTGCATGCTTATCGACATTGAAAGTGATATTGCAAGGAGCTTTAGTATAACATCGCTCGTGGATGCATTTCAAGATTTGAAGGAATGGCGTGTTTTGTTGTGATTATGTGATAGTTATATCTTTTGCACTTTTTAAAATCGTATTTTTTATTATTTACTTTAATTTAATTTTTAGCTTGTTATTTCATATAAATATAGAACTATGCATATTTAATGTTATCATTTATATTTTTTGAAATAAAAAAATAATAAAAATAAAATTATATATATAACTTAAAGCTGTTAAAAAGATTTGCCCTCTATTGAGATCTAGTTCTGCCTGCAACTGCATAAAATAAATTAGTGTTCCTTTCATGGAACCTAACTTGCCATTTCCTTTAATGTAGGAACCTAATGTCTGTTTTCCTTTTATGTATTAATAAATCTCATATACTTTTATTATGAGAATAATAATAACAAAAAAAAAGTTATGTAGGTGTTCTATAATGTTACGTTATTGTTTTGTTTTGTTTATCAATAGCTCTGTTGTACGTTCCTTAAAGAATTCGGACAAGGTTTTATCGTTTGCTGCAAGGATCTTTCAAGTGAAAATAAAATAAAATATATTCATATCGAATTCATATTCGTATTCAACACTCGTAAAACAAATAATAAAAGCAAGAAATCAAGGTATCTCAATACCTTGTTGTGGACGAAACATATATACAGGAAGAAAACAATCATTCAATAATGATCAAAGCCACAATGAGTAAATGGCATATATGAAGTCATCACTGTCGCATATATTCCGGGTTGAGTGCAAGCGCCTCCCGATATATTAGCTCCTTCATCTGTTCCTCGGTTAATGCATGCTGCTCGAAATCGAAGTTAAACGGGGTCATGCAGACCGGCTCATCACTTAAGTCATGCAGTGAGCTTAGGTAGGGATGACCAAGTGCATCCTCAACTGTATCATACGGGAAGGAAAAGAAAATTAGCCTAAAAGTGACAGTTTTGCATACATTGGCAAACTTTACACACGATAGAGAGCTAGCTAATCTTTTGCAACAAACTCACCGGTAATCCGTTGTCTGGGATCAAATGTCAACATCTTTTCAACAAGATCAATAGCTAAAGGGTGGATGGTCGGAAATTTTTCGGTAAAAGATTGTCGGCGATAAAGAGGAAGTTGCTTGATGTATCTCCTAGCGTTTTCATTCAGACACCCCAGCTCAGACTCTGATGGGGTGCCAATCAGCTGCAAGGTAAAGTGTTCTACCTACTTATCAACTTATTTATTTGAATCTCAGATGATATTATACCGGTTGGAGGACAAAACGAATTTACCTCTATAAGCAATCGGAGCTGATGCACATGATCTCTTCCGGAAAATAACGGCCTCCGATCCAGCAATTCCATAAAAATGCAACCCACTGACCACACATCAATGGCTGCAGTATAATCTGAAGAGTTTAGCAGCAGTTCAGGAGCACGATACCATCTTGTAACAACATATTCCGTCATAAAATCACTTTCGCAGTTGACACGAGCCAATCCGAAATCACATATTTTCAAGTCACAGTTTGCATTGAGGAGAAGGTTGCTAGGTTTTAAGTCCCTGTGCAGAACATTTGCAGAATGTATATACTTCAGCCCGCGTAAGATTTGATAGAGGAAGTACTGCACAATACAAAATAAACATCAGCTCATATGCAATCAAAGAGCAATCAAAATGTTAACATTCCAACCTGACAATGCTCTTCCGATAAAGCTTGATTCGAACGGATTATCTGATGCAGGTCGGTGTCCATCAGTTCATACACAATATAAACAGCATTAAAGCATTCTCTCTTGGGTGGTGGGATTATATCCTTGATGCAATTACCTGAAATGAAAGATGCAAATGAGACTAATTCACAATGAGCTTTAAGCAAAAACCAACAGCAAACACAAATATGATGACAGAGTTCATCAACCAATTTCGATCGGACAACACATATATACATAGATGCTAGTTATATCCAATGATCAGATCAATGCAGCCACTGCAAGATCTAACATCAATGTTTTACATCAGATGCTATTTGTATACGAAATAACACAGATTCAATAAATTACTAAAGCACCTATATCTGTCACAGATCAATGCCTCAAAATGGAAATGGGTTATCGATATCTTCCTTGAAAAATAAGGGGGAAAATCTTTACAAAAAACTGAATGCACCCATATAAACAACTCACTGACGTTTTCGTGATCCATGTGACGAAGCAACTTGATCTCACGAAGCGTTCTCTTTGCATCAATTCTATTATCAAATGCATTGGCTATTTTCTTCAATGCCACTTGTTCATTCGTCTCGGAATTCAATGCCGAACTATCCCAAAAACACTTGATTAATTACAAAAACAAATCAAATAACTGACTAATAATAATAATAATAACCAGAAGAAGAAGAGTTTACCATACGATGCCGTAGGCTCCTTTACCGATAGGCATAATAGGAGGTTTATATTTAGCAGTCACCTCAAAAACGTTACCGAATATATTGTATTGATAGAACCTTCCGCCGTGGCTAAGAATTGCAGGAACATTCTCCAACCCCAATGCCATTTGCTGCTGCTGTTGGTGGTGTGGCATGTCGGTGTCCGCCGGCTGAGGTTGTCCACCGCCTTCCATCGTCATCTGAACAAGACGAGAAGAATGAATAAACAAATTGCAGGGTGTGTGGAATGGTTTCGAAGGGTACCTAGTATTTTATTGGTCAATGGGTCTGTTTTATTTTTGGTGAGTTTGCATTGCATGCTGTCTCTTGGCATCAGTTTTCTGTTTATTTTTTCCTTTTTTAGCATTTTTCTTCATGTCGGTTTTCCTAGTATTCTTAAAATAATAAAAATATTGTGGTGCATTAAATGATTGTCTAAATATTAACGCTAATACTAAAATAAGAGTATAAAGTATATCGTTTTCATGAATAGGTGTTTAAAGTATTTTTTGACTTATTTTGATGTCTAACGTTACAATAATTATCACTTTAGGTGTTCGAGTCGTTAATGGTAATCTCTCTCGTTAAGTGACACATGTCGTAATCTGGTAATTTTAAAAAATTTATTTAAAATTAAAAAATTCAAATTATATATATTTAAAAAAATCATAAACATTTTGAAATAACTCCAAAACTTTGAAAATCTTTATTTCAACTACTAAACTCACGTTGGCCATCGCCCTTTGCCATCGACGAAGCTCCACCCGACCTCAGCTCCCCTGGCAACCAAAACCCCTATGAAATCATGATTGATCGATCGACGGCGAATCGACATTTTATTCTTGCAAACCCTAAGATAAAATCACAATCCCACGCGATTCCGACGGCCAGTCAGTAGCAACTATGACAACATACTACTAGGAGGATGGTAACAACTACATTGACAGCGGTGGTCGTGACTGGAAAGAGCAGTGGTGGCGAGTTAAGGTTAAGATTTAGGGGTTTTAGACATTTTAGAGTTTTTTAATAATTTAAGAGAAATTAGTGTTTTTAATAAATATAATAATATTTTTTTAAAAAATAAATTCCAAAATCACCAAATTATAACTCATGTCACTTAACGGAAGAAATTAACGTTATTGACGGTCCGAACACCTAAAATGATAACGTTAAGTGCTGGGATGAGTCAAAAAATACTTTAGGCACCTATTCGTAAAAAGTGGTATAGTTTCAACACTTATTTTGGCATTATTAAGCCAAATATTAATATAAATTAGTTTCTATGATTTTAATAATGTCTTCTATATGATTACGTTAGTTTATATTTAACTTGACAGTGTAAGAAACTCTCTAAATTTTGTGTGAGGGGGGGGGGGAGAAAATAAAAACTTCTCATATTAATCAAAAACTATTAAAAGCGCAAAAATCCTAAAGCAAAACTGAAATGACAAGTAAATAAGTTCGGCCTAAACAAAAAAATAACTTTAGCCGAGTAATTAGTTCTTCATAAAACAACAGCGAAATAGAAGTGGGGAACGATTCTGTATTTCAAGATCAGCATTCTACATTCAATCCTCATCTTCGGAATCAGCGCCGACAGCGGCGTTAAGCGGCTTTAATCGTTCAATCAACTTGGCTTTCCTTTCCTCATATGTCAGCTCCTTCAAGTTGAACCTGCAATAAGAAAACATGAAGCCAATAAGACAAAGCATAATGGAACTTCAAGCATCCGATCAAGTCAGGCTGCATGTGAAAACCAACCTTTTTGTGCTGCTTAGGAGGAGCCTTTTCAGACTTCTTAGCAGATGGGTCAGCACTTATTGCGGCGTGAACCTTCTTGTACAAGGACTCAATGTTATCTGCTTCGATTCCTCTCTTGATGTACTCACTAAAGTGAGACTGGTACTTCTCTGGTTCGTCTTCCATCAAAGCCTACAAAATAAATGCAAAATAACAAAACAATAAATTATGCCAAAGAAAAGGGATGGATAATTATATTATTAAATTCAATGAAAGATGAGTAATGATATGGACAGCTTTTTATACCCTCGTATATGAAGCAACGTGACCACCAAAAATGTACTTGCAATGGACCTCAGCGTCAAGTTGCTTGCTATCCTTGGAGCACCCTACAAATCTCTTGTCACTATGAGGAATATCCAAACCAACATCCAAAGCTTCCTGTCCAGATGAAAGGAAAATTATATTAACTCCGTTTGCGAAAATTGGGTCGGAAATGTTTGAGTCTGTGGTGAAGGATCACCCGCCAAATAAATAGCATATGAAGCCCATGTTGGATCTACAGGCATGGAACCATAATATCTGCCATGAGGTGTCATAAAACCCTATGGCGGAGGCATCTGAACTGACTGTGGTGGCATCTGAAATGGATGCGGTGGCGTTTGACCAGGCTACGGTGGCATTTCAAACAGCTGTGGAATGTAAACCGTGGTAGACGATAGCTGCTATGATGGTTTTGGTGCTGCAACTGAGGATGAACTGAAAGACCTGCTCTCTTTCCACAGGACGATGATGTTGTGACGGTGGACGCTTTTCTCGACGCTGATGAATGCTCCTACCTCATGCTTCCTCGAAAAGTAGGAACACTTTCTCATTCGTGTTGAACCACTGATAATAGTCATCTGCAACTGAATAATGATCCATATAAATCAGCTCCCTACAGGGAATACGTCAACGTCGATCCTCCCAAATCATTACCCATTTGTTGTGCTTCATCAGCCAGTTAACCTCTTTTTTGCCCCGTCTATCAATGTTATGCAAATAGTTGAGATTCTTAGGTGCTTCAGTAATAGATTGTATGGAACCCAAATTGGCGGAGCACGTGATCAATGGGATGGCACTCGATAATAGCATAACATATCAGAGGGACCACCGCCATCCATACATCTAATGGGCCACTCAAGTGAGGTGGGATGCAATGCCTCATTTCTTCAATAGCATAAGGAGTCCATTGAAAATAAAACAATATATATAATTCTTATCGAAAGAATATTTTAATTATATAACGATAATTAAAGGTAAGTAATAAAATTTAAATACATACCCGTGTATCAGCCTTTTGATCAATGAGTAGCCGAATTTCTTTCAATTTGTCTGGTATATCACGATGATCTTTCCTTATACATGAACATCTATTCAGTATAAAAAAAATTCATTATATACTCAAAAAATTATTTATATATGAACTCAGTATTGAAATTACCTCAATAATAACATGAAGACCAACGGGTTTTTCACGATTGGACATAAAAAAAGACATGCGATACCACACTCATGACTGCAGAAGAATGAGACATCCATCTATAGCATTTTTTCGATAATCAGTTGTTCGGCTCATTTCTCTATATA